TTTTTTTTTAAATTTCTTTTTGTGAAAGAAAACTTATTTACCAAGTGATTTATGAATATATCTCTATTTATTTTTATAAACCACAGGTCACAGTGTACTAATAGGTGATAAATCTGGGAAGATATTGCGATATGATTATAGATGCAGAAAATGCAGACTATGTGAAAATGCAAAAAGAAAAGGCATTCAGCCCATTGACCATGATTGCAGGTAAAATGTTGATAAGTATCAAATGTATAATGTGTAAAAAAAGAAATACATAGTTAAAAAAATCAATGTCGGTAAATGGTGAAGGTTATTGCAAATCAATGTAATATTTATCTTTTTATACCCCTGCTCCGAAGGAGAGGGGGGTATGCTGTTTTACCCTTGTGTGTCTAGCTCTGTGTGTGTGTGTGTGTGTCTGTCTGTCCGTAACAATTTTCCTTGCAGTTTTTTCAGCAACTACTCATTGCAGATTCTTGAAATTGTAGCACATTCATTGTTTAGCCATGCCATATGGTGGGATTCATTTTTGTACGAATATGATGTCAATTTCCTGTTTATCTGTACGTCTGTCTGTACCATACATAACAAATTTTTGTCGCAGTTTTCTCAGTAACTACTCTTTGCAAATGCATGAAAGTTTACACACTCTTTGTTTAGGCATGGAATATGGTATGATTCATTTCTGTTTGGATCTGATGTCAACTTCTTGTTTATCTGTATGTCTGTCTGTAACTAAACTTGTGTATATTCACATAGTGTATATTCACATCAAAGCAGGGGTATTACTAGTGAGCACTGGCTCACAGAATTCGTGTTTCTGCATGCTTATTTTTATATTTTACTTTACAGAAAGAATTGGGATGGCTCAGCCAAAGCTATGGAGCCTGACATTATTGTGGGCATGTTGAAAGACTTGGAAAAAGAGAATATTCATCCTCATGAATTAGTAATGGATGATGATAGTACCACCATTTCACGTGCAAGGAAAGAATGTGATCAAACTATTACAAAATTCAGTGACAGAAACCACCTAAAGAAAACATTTTCAAATAAACTATATGATTTGCAAAGAGTAAAAAAGTATCAACAACTGAGAGGAAAAACCATAACACATCTAAAGAAATGTTTTTTCTTATGTTCTTGCCCAGCACCAGAAAAAACCTGAAGAGTTGAAAAAATCTTTATTGTGTATTATTCCTCATATGTATGGAGACCGTCTGGCATGCCCTTCATGGTGTAAATATAAGCGGAATCCTGCAAATTACATTCCACGGAATCTTCCATACAGCAGGTATCTAACGTGCCTAGAGTTGAAAAAGGATTTGGAAACAATTATTCAGACATATGCTCAACAAGCTGAAAAACTATCTGATCTGGGAACCACACAAGCGTGCGAAAGTTTTAATCACATTGTTGCCTCAAAACATCCAAAGAACCTCTTCCTGTCAGGATCAGAAAGTACAAGTTTCAGAATTGCTGCAGCTGTTGCACAGAAAAACATTGGAAAGTCTTATATACAACAAGTAGGTATATATGTATAATGCAAAAAATTATGTAATATAAAGTAATCATATCTTCTCATTTTATGTAAATGAAATAATATGAGTTATATTTTTGTTTACATGTATATTTACAGGTCAATGACCAATTGAATATGTCACCTGGAGCCTATACTGAAATGTCGGTTGAAAAGATGGACAGAAAGAGAAAGTTACAGAAGATTAGACAGAGTAGTGCAGAGTACAAGAAAAGGAGATGTGAAATTAGGAAATCCTCAAGTCAAGATCAGGGTAGTAAAGAAGTGCGTGAAGGAAAAACGTATGAAGCATCAGTTGGACTAGAGGAAATGGATGAGGATCAGGACATCAATTCCATTCCAAGTGCCTCTATTGAACCAGAGAGAATACCTGTAACAAATACCGATTGAACACTTGTTTACTTTGACCTAGAAACAACAGGTTTAGGTAAATTTTTACACAATGTAGAAAAGTTATACATATATTTCCATGAGACATTATATATATATATATATATATATATATATATATATATATATATATATATATATATATATATATATATGTATATATCCTTTTTTTCAAGATACATTGTTTTAGATATGTTTTATAGGTTCATCATCATAAATATTGGAAATAGGAGCTGCAAGAGGACATGGCATCTTTCAGAAGTACATAAAACCCAATGGTACAATATCTGCAAAAGCAACTACATATGAAAAACAAAGAACGGTACTACAGAGATCAAGAACTTACAACAACAGACTTGAAATCAGCACTCCAAAAGTTTCAGAATGGCTATCGGACACAAATTCTAATATTCTTGTAAGCCACAATGGATTCCGGTTTGACTTTCCATTATTTATGCAAAGCATTACATCACAAAATATTGTGATGAATACATGTATTGCCGGTTTTATAGACACTTTGGAGGTTTTTAAAAATTCTAATGTAAAGACACAAACTGCCAGCTTTTCTCAGGAGTCTCTTTTGAGAGAAGCAGGTATCCAATCAACAGGAGTTTCTCATTGTGCCCTAACGGATGCTATGGACCTACAAAATTTAGTGAATTTTCATTACATTCCTTTCAACACTCTGTTGAGGCAAAGTGCAGTTTACAATTATGTTTTACAGCATCAAACATTTTCTCTAGTAAGGAATGACAATTTGAAATCTCTTGAAGTCTTAGTTCAGGGAAAAGTTATTACAGGATTCATGGCAAATAAAATTGCAAAATCAGGTTTAAATATGAAGTATATTAAATTAGCACACTCAAGAAATGGTGAAGATGGAGTAAAAAACTTGTTTCAAGAAATTGTAAATGGAAAAGCAAGAGACACAAAATGAAAGAAAATAATCAATTCAGTGTCCAATTATTTATCTAGTCAGTTGTAAAGAGTTACTTCCCTTTGTTTTTCATAATTGTAAATATATTATTTCATTTTTTATCTCTCTTATATACCTGGCTCCACCATGTAAGATATGAATTTTTGTACACCATATGGCCAAACCTTTGTTTTTATTTTTAGAAAATGTCAGAAATCTCATATTTAAAAAAGATGAAATGTCAAATATTTCTGAATTTGTCATTGTCATTCTGTGTGTTTATTATTTTTTCATATGTTGATTGATATACCCTGGACTAAGACTTTAAGAGATTTCAAAGTGATTTAAATATCTAATAAATAAACTTTTTTTCACTTTCATGCATATTTCCTTATTTTTGTCATTTTTTCTTAAAAAAATGTGGCATCCTTGTATGAAAATATTTTTAAAAAATTGTTAGTGCACTAAGTTATAGTATATATTTCTTTAAAGTCTTAAATTTTCCTCATTGTTGGTGTTTAGAGCTTCCTTAAACCCACTCATTTTTATACGCCCGTCTTTAGACGGGACTTATTATGTTATGGCGTTCATGTCCGTCTGTCTGTCCGTCTGTCTGTCTGTCTGTTAGCTTTTCTCGTGTCCGGCTCATAAATGTAATACTATTAGGCCTAGGATTATCAAACTTTGTCAGCTGATACTTCTTGGGTAGAAGGTGTGTTGCGCACTAAAAGTAGGTCGCTCTGACCTTTAATTAAGATACTATGGCCAAATATGGAAAAATCCTGTCCGGCTCATAACTAGAAAACTATTGGACTTAGAATCATCAAACTTGGCTAATTTATGCATCTTAGGTAGAAGGTGTATCGCGGCCTATTTCAAGGTCACTGTGATCTTTAATTAAGTGAAATTTACTATTAGATTAGACAATCCCAAAAAATGCAAGAGTGTTGCAGTATCCTAATAAAAAATATGTTAAATCAAGAAAATACTTATTTTTTCATTATATACTTTACAGCAATCTATAACAAATGTAATGTTACAAGAGAAATTCCACCTCTCCCATGGGTGTAATTATCAAGCACTGGTCAAGGAGAATTTGATAACAGAAAATTGCATGTCAAATTCGAGAGAAATTAATGTGTTGAGTGTGATGAGCTAACTGGTAGAGCATCTCTGATCAAGCAGGTGTTATCTATATCTCTCGGGAACTGGGTAAAAGGAATCAACCCTGTTGGATTTAATAGTTGGCTAGCCTAACTTTGAAAATGAATTTGGTGAAAAGTAAAACTTATTTGATATTGTATAATAAATAAATTTGATGTTGTATAATAAACTTATTGATATTGTATAATATAATTAAAACTAATTATACTTGGGAGGGGGGGGGGGGTTATTGGAATCTGCATGTCCATTGTCTGTAAGAATTGCAGCTTAAAACCAGTCTGAAATTAAATCTAAAAATAATCAAGTATTTTAAAAAAATGTTTTAATTATGGTAGATAGTCCCTACAAATCTAAGAGTAATGCAGGAACCTTATTAAAAATGTTGCATCAAGATTACACAAGTTTTTTTGTTATAAATGTTTGTAACAAATAAAAAAAAATCTTTGTTTTCAAATTTAATATCAGAATGACATAAATATGCATTTTTATTGCACTACAAAGCAGATAGTATGTATAGATCCATTCATCCGTTGGGAGTAATGAGTGGACATGCATCCAGTTAAAGATTAATTAATGAGTTCAGTGTAGGAAGGCTAGCTGTCTCAATCATTTCTGTTAGAGGATCTCTGATCAAGCAGCTCTTTCTGTATCCTTTGGGAATTAGACAGAAGAACTGCTTATCAGTTTATAGCATATGTCATTTGATGACCAGCCTTTTATTTTTGATATTAATTTGATATAGATTAAGTTGTTAAAGCAATACCAGCTATAACTGACGGTACATTTTGAATGTGCATTTTCAGCATTAATTAACACCTACTGATAAAGCTAAGATAATAATGAAGTTCTGATAAGAAATCCCGCACAATAAACAAAGTATAGGCTGTTTAATTGCATACATGCTGTGCGCTGTCCTTTCAACTGCCACTGCTTAATTATCTCTCGGGACACTGTAACGATGATTACCGAACCCGAACGGGATGCTGATAACGAAGTTATACGAAGATGGAGTCAGACGTGAGTATCTGTATTTTTCATTCATTTTAAACAGTTATACCATGTCATGAATGAAATTAACCTTAAAAAAGTGTAATAAGCTAATAACTACATAAATATGCAGCTACAATACAACTGTGCTCATGAATTTTCAGAAACTGTGGCTGAAAAGCTTTTTTAACAACTTGAGGCCCCTTAGGGGGTAAATTATTTTACTGTGAAAACGACTAAGAAAACTTTAAATAAAAGTCAAATCAACTTACAGGGGTCAAATATTCTTTATAAATTATGAATTAAAATTACCCTTGTTCTGTTTTGTGCAGAATTCAGATAGATCTAGAAGTGATTATTCGCCTGCAAATTCTGCTAATCAGTCTGATGTCAGTGATGATGATTATGTACCAAACTACAGAAGAGGGAGAGGTCGAGGGAGAGGTCGTGGAAGAGTTAGACGGGTTTTGAATGTAATTTTTATTAAATACTTTAATATCTAAATTTCCCCTTAACACATATGAATGATATAAATAGAAACAGAGATATTCATGCTAATTAATTTATTGCGTAATAAGCACCTGCATATAAGCATAAGCACCTCATATAGCTTATTTCTACAGATTATTTATTTATTTTCACCATTTCCGAGGACAGATTATTTATGTCCAAATTCTGCTAGCCCCCCCCCCCCTTTACAGAATTAAGATAAGTCATCGCCTTGTACAAATGCTTAATGTGGGATTTCAATATTCATAAACTGTAGTCCCCAGCAGCTGGGGGTAGAGGTCGTGGTAGTGCCAGGAGAGGAAGGAGAAGAGGGGGAAGAGGCGGCCAAGGACCAAGTCGACTTGAATTAGCTGTCCAAGCAAGGCAGGAAAGAGAAGCTCATGCGGAGGTAGAGTACACAAGTACAATACCAATGTATTGATCTGTATAATAAATCTTGGGTCAAAATTTTTATAGACTCTATATATTTCAGACTTGCATTGCATCATTAGACACCGACAGCCTCAGAAATGCTCTTAGATTAGTGTGCTCTAAGCAACCATCTTTCATCCTGGACATCATTCACACAGTTCAAGGTGAAAATCCAGAGCATCCACAACATTCAAGCAGTACAGTTCCAAGCTGGTGCATTTGCACCCATTGCAGGGAAATGCCCTTGGAAAGAGAAAAAGTTTGCTGCAATAAATCCAGTCAGAGTTGTCACTCCAGATTACCTGTAAGTATGATTTCTTATAAACTGCATTATTTTCTTACTAAAACCCTGTAGCATACAATTTTGCCTGACATTAAACTCATTTTTTTTTAGGATTTTCAAACAGTTGTTCTTGATGAACTTGTGTTGGAGGTAGCCATGAGATACCACAACGATGTGCTGGCTGAACCTAGGGATGAGAACTTTAATAGGTCTCGCCGACACACAGCGTACAGGCAGTATATTATGTGGATACATGGGAGACTAGGTGCAGGAAATCGCAAAGTTATACCCAGTTGTTGTGTGTGGAAAATTAGGGATAAATATCCCGAGCCATCAGGACAATATGTTGGTTTCCTAGAAGGGGTGCTTGGATACTAAGTCAATTTAAAACAAAACACATTAAATCAGTAACAACATATCTTTTACTTTTCATTTCATGAAGTATGAATTTGAGCTTCAGAAAATCTTGACTTTTTTCCAGCAACTAGTTCAGCTGTGGGTGGTGGGGGGACTGGTGCTAGCACAGAGGATACTCTCCTTGGATCCTCAGCACTCAGAACTACTGGCTGGTTCATTCCAACTCCATCCAGTAGTCTGTTCTCCAAACAGGCTCTCATCAAGGTCCCAGAGTAAGGGTACACTTTCTCCGACTTGACTCCATAGGCAGACCATCTCCCACTCTTCTTGCTATAATATCGTTGGTGTCTGAACAAAGGGATAAAAGAATTGCTTATGAGAAATATATTTAAACTAAAAAAATGTGGAAACTTAATGGATAGAAAAATTTGAAGCCATTAATAGTTTCATACCTTTGTGAACCATCCTTCTTTCTTAAAATTTCTCTACCACAGTTGGAGTTATGGTCTAATGCTGCAATTAGGTTTCTAGCCTTGTATACTGGTGGTGAATATGAATGCTGTTTTGAGGAGTATTTCAAAATCAAATTTTGAAAATTTTCTAATGTAGCAGTACTTCTGTAAAAAAGATACAAGCTTCTAAGCAGTGATAACTATGTCTGAAATAAAATCAATTTGACATGAATCTTTTATTCACTGGATGGTATAAAAATGGAAAAACAAAGTTTCACCTGCAATTCAAGTAATATGGAATTTTCTTGAGCAGTCTCTTGTCTCGAACGATATCTCTCAAAGCAACATGAGCTGGAGACCCTGCCTCTAACCAACCTCCCTCTCGCTCCTCTGTCAGAGGACCATGCATGCATGAATTCCTAGCCCCTACTCTGTATGGAAGAATCCATTCATGTTGGTTTACAACGTGGTGAATCACACCCAACCACATACCCTGTAAATATTTTAAGCATAGAAGAAGTTAAATAGAAGTGGTCATTTGTAATGCAGTAAATAATTGGGGGTTTTCTGTTTGTTTGTTTGTTTGTTTGTTTGTTTTTTTTTTTTGATTGACTTACAATGAATTCCGTCTCTGTTTTAGCAGTAGATGAGCAATACCAAAAATGGTTTACTACTTCACGAGTCCATGCCAAAAGTGGCTTCTTTGACTTCTCTTGTCCAGCCTTAATGGAAAATGAAAGTACAAGTCTTTATTACAAATTTAGTAATAAAATAAGGATTTTTTGCATATACCATATGCATGATGTCACAATAGCCATATCACTCAAGACTGAAAAAGAATAAAACATGTATAATAGATAATCTTACCTGAATTAATTTCTTCCCAAGATTTTTGGAACCGTGCCAAATGTCAAAGGAATGTTTTATTTGGGAATAGTTATTTTCTGCAAATAATAGACATACAATGATTTAAAATAAATATTGCCTTTCAAAAACAATTCACATTCAATAATTTCATATTTCTCATTCATGTATTTGTTCATTATTTGTTTTCAATGTACAAATCTAATACACTTACTCATCAGAGCTTGTATTTGCACATGGGCATCTGTCACTATTTCCACAATCTTCAAGTTTTTTTGAAGTAAAAACTGCAGTCCTTTCTGGAAACATGCTTTTTCTAGGACTGCGCTTTTCCCTCCAGTCATACGTTTATCTAACGTTACAACACACAGTATTTTGTGAGTATCATGTTCCATGAAGGTATACGTACAAAACTGGGCACAGTGGCCAGGGCTATCCATACGGCCATCACCTATATAATAAAAACATTCTTATATACGCTGATAAATTTTAAGAAGCAGATTATTAGAAAATTGGAAATGAACTTACATACTTATATGATAGGACATTAATAAAAGAATTGTGCTTTAAAACTACCTAAGATAATCAGATCTTTCCCTTGAAATTCCTCCAAAATTTCATTTTGATGACTCTCCCATATTTCATCAATGCTTGTAAGGACATATGTGCGTTGAATTTTCCAAAAGGAAGACGGTGATGGGAATGGCAATTTTAAAAACTTTGCAAACAAAGCAAGCTTTTGAAAATTGTTTCCAGAGGCTATCAAACCAGCAGAAATCAGTACATCACCACTGTGAAGTCCTCGGTTGAGAAGAGGCTGAGAACACTATCTGTGAGCAATGTGGTCTTTACTGCACATCTGAAATTAAAAAAACAAAAAACAATAAGATTTTGCTATGATTGAAATTCTTGCACAGAACTGCAATTATCTGACCAATGGCTTAGCATTGGTCAGAGAAATTCCTGCATGTTAAATACTAATTAATTATTATGTACAAAAAATTATTTCTACCCATGTCAAGTAAACAGCAGATGAGACTGTGCGTATGGTGACATTCACATCTTCAGAGCACCCTTTCACTTTACACTTGGCAGTGACTTTTTTTGTTGCTAGCTCAAGCAATTGTTTTGTGAATACCAGCACAGGGTAGTCATCAACAAGGAGGGAATCGATCTCATCATTGGATCTCAGCCTCTTTACTCCTAGACCAAGTTCTATCTCTGGTTCCTGCTGGCAATATTGATCTGCTTCCTCCTCTTCTTCCTCCTCATCCGACTCACTCAACAAAACATCATGATCTAATCTGCAAAAAATTATAAATAAAAATCATTTAAGTAAAAATAAATTTTTCATAAATATAATAAATTTATTACTTTTTTGATTATAGTTAAAAGATAATAACATCAATGCATATAATTTATGCTACTATTTTTGTAGCCCCTGCCCAATAAACACCATTGTCAATATATACATTTACCTCAGGGATACATGAAAGCTTGGTTCATATTCCTCCTCACTTTCTTCACCATCAGTTACTTCTGATGAATAAATTGTTAGACTGAAAAAAAGGATTTCTCTTAAAAAAGGATACTGAACAATTACTGAGGAAACTAAATTGCTCTATTTTTTATTATTCACATAACTTACTCAAATGGATCCAAGAAACTGTTTGAATAAAGGTATTGATTTGTACTGCGTACTGTTCCCAGTTCAATGTCTTCCACCCCAGATACTTCACCACCATCTCTGAATTAAAAAGCAAATCAGTTGATAAACATATATATTTCTTCATCTATTAATATTTTTTTTTAAATTCAAAATGTATGTGAGCATTACATTTCCTTTGTGTCATCTGCTGCTATGTCAGATATATCAGATCCAGGCTCAGCTGTTACATGTACCACATGGTCTCTCACTGCACTGACTACAGAACTTGTTTTTGAGGGCCCTGGTGTGGATGTTTCAGGTGGAACAAAGTGGGGACCAATTGAAAAGACTGCAGACGTTTTGTCATTTTTTTCTTCATAACTGCAAAAAAAATTCATCTTGATTTTTTTTTCCAGCTCACCCCCCCCCCTTTTCTGTCATGAAAATATTCAATAATTTTTTTTACTTGATAAGAACATTAGAAATATATCAACTAACTAATTTTAAAATGAAAGTACAATTTCTTAAATATTGAAAAGTCGCTTATACTTGTCCCCAAAGCAAATCATGTCTATTCTGAAATGGATTTGCATAAATTCCCCTCAATGGGCCTCACAAATGAAGCGATATCGTTTTCCAAAATAACACGCTTGTTTACGATGCCTGAACTTTAGTTCCATGTCTAAATGTCAGCTGTCCATTATAATTTACTGATCCTTGTTTTAATAAAAACTCGGTCAGATGGGAAAACCTCTTTTAAACCCGTAATATTGGGTGCCACGACGACATACAGAACATTTAAACGCACATACCTGTCAAGGAGAATTTTCGCCAAATCTGCATTTGATTCAACCGACAGTCTTCTTTTTAAATCTTCCCAACGATCAATCTGGTCACCGATGTAAATTCTGCTTTTGTTCAATTTAGCATTTGCGTCTCTTTTGTGTCTTTTTCTTGCAGAATCAGTTAGCTTCACTTTTGGCCCACGTTTTCCCGACATGTTTACGAAACTGGCGCATGTGCAGTGACTACATTCCGAACTTGTGACCTCCGGGGTCACTGCATATTCAGATTACGAATGGAAATACTGTCAGGAAGACAGTAATTCAAAAATCGGTATTTTCTTTTGATTTGACAAGTTATTTGCTTCAGAAATTTTCTGATTCCATAAGATTAAATAAATACAACTACAAATACACAAATTTATTGGTCGTGTTAAAGTTGAAATTTTTTACCGTCAGTTATAGCTGGTATTGCTTTAAGACTAAATTGATATTGTTTAATATGATATTTTTAATTAGTTGTTTGAAAATATCAACAAATTCAGAGCATCATGTCTCACAAATCTGCAAGCTGGAAAGGGGGGGGGGGGGGCTGCAGATGGGCATTTGTCAAGCTCTAACTCAACCAGTTGAAGATCTATAATGTAATATTTGTTATAATTAATGCCTACACCACAAGAGATGTATAAACAAATATTATGAGGAATGCAAAAGTCATTGAAATCCTTGTATCAAGGTTGACATGATTTTTTGGCACTCTAAACTGTTTATGACAATTGAACAATATTTGACGGGCGTATCATGCTGTGGCGGGGCACTTTATTTAATTTTGCTCTCTACCCGGGATTGTTTGAAATGGTCAGTTATGAAACAGCGTATGCAATACAAATACAAACTGATAATTGACCATTTCAAACAATGAAGACATTGAAAGCTACAACAAATTCCTGAAATTAAATACATACAATGATATTTTGGAACACTTAAGCAATATACACTCAAGACTTCAGCAACTTATAAAACTGCTCAGTGTGTTTTGGTCAGATGTAGTACTTAATCTGTTTTTTCCAATTTTGTAATAGCATCATTACTTTTTTACGTTGACAGAAAGAAGTCATCCAGTTGGTCTACATCATCAATTAAGTTTTCTCTGGAGCAGGATTGGAGGAACTCCATCAGAACGTGTTGCGGAACATAAAATTTGAAATATTATTCTGCTCGTCTTCAACGGTTAGAGTTGCAGTGTCTTTTTTAACTCAGCTGTTCTTTGTTTTGTCTGACAGGCCAAGCATCTGACAGTTTTGCCTTCAGTGTT